CATTGCCGTTGCCATTGCCATGGTATTGCCATTGCCAGTCGCCGCCACGTTACCATTACCGTTACCATTACCATTACCATTCCCATTACCATTCGCCACTACCATTACCATTGCCATTATCATTAGCATTACCAACACAATTGCCGTTACCATTACCATTACCGCTGCCATCACCATTACAATTCCCATTCCCATCACCATTGCCATTCGAATTAACGTTACCAGTACCATTTCCATTACCATTGCCATTATCATTACCACTACCACTACCATTTCCATTCCCGTTCCCGTTCCAAGTACCACTACAATTCCCATTCCCATTCCCATTCCCATTCCCATTACCATGACCATGACCATGACCATGACCATTACCTTTGCCATGGCCATTGCTATTGCTATTGCCATTGCCGTTGCCATTCCCATTGCCATTGCCATTGCCAGTCCCATTACCATTACCATTGCCATCGCCGTTGCCATTGCCAGTGGCCACCCCGTTACCATTGCCATAACCATTACCATTACCCTTATCGTCAACATTACCATTCCCAGTACCATTATCATTACCACTGTCATTGCCATTACCATTACCATTGCCATTGCCATTCGCCACTACCATTACCATTGCCATTCGCCACTACCATTACCATTACCATTGCCATTGCCATTGCCCTTCGCCACTACCATTACCATTGCCAGTACCATTACCATTCCGATTCACATTCCCATTCCCAATACCATTACCATTACCATTACCATTACTGCCATTGCCATTACCATTACCTTTACCTCTACCTTTACATTTACCCTTACCCTTACCATTCCCATTTCCGTTACCACTACCACTGCCATTTCCATGCCCGTTCCCATTCCCATTCCCATTCACATTCTCATTCCCGTTCCCATTCCCATTCACATTACAATTGCCATTACCATTACCATTGCCATTGCCATGGCCATTACCATTGCCATTGCCATTACCATTACCGTTGCCATTGTCATTGTCATTGCCATTTCCAGTCGCCACCTCGTTACCACTATCATTACCGTTACCATTACCAGTACCATTACCTCTGTCATTACTATTACCAATCGCATTGCCATTGCCACTAGCCACTACCATTACCATTGCCAATACCATTTCCATTGCCATTCCTATTCTCATGACCATTACCTTTACCATTACCATTACCATTATCATTATCATTTCCATTGCCATTACCACTACCTTTACCTCTACCTTTACCTGTACCCTTACCCTTATCATTCCCATTTCCGTTACCACTACCACTACCATTTCCATTCCCGTTCCCGTTCTTTCTCCCATTCACATTCCCATTCCCGTTCCCATTCCCATTCCCGTTCCCATTCCCATTCCCATTCCCATTACCATTGCACTTACCATTGCCGTTGCCATTGCCATGGCCATTATCATTGTCATTGCCATTGCCAATCCCATTGCCATTGTCATTACCATTACCGTTGCCATTGTCATTGCCATTGCCAATCGCTACCCCGTTACCATTACCCTTACCATTACCATTACCAGTACCATTACCTCTGTCATTACCATTACCATCACCATTGCCATTGCCATTCGTCACTACCATTACCATTGCCAGTACCATTTCCACTCCCATTCCCATTCCCATTACCATTAGCATTACCATGAGACTACCGCTGCCATTACCATTAGAATTCTCATTCCCATTCCCAATACTATTACAATTTCGATTGCCATTACCATTACCATTACCATTTCCAGTGCCATTACCATTACCATTACCATTGCCAGTGCCATTGCCATTGCCCTTCGCCACTACCACTATCATTTCCATTCCCGTTCCCGTTCCCAGTCCCACTTCCATTCCCATTACCATTACCATTACCACTGCCACTGCCATTGCCATTACCATTACCATTGCCATTACCTTTAACTCTGCATTTACCTCTACCCTTACCATTACCATTACCATTGCCATGGCCATTACCATTGCCATTGTCATTGCCATTCCCATTGCCATTGCCATTACCATTACCGTTGCCATTGCCATTGCCATTGTCATTGCCTCGCTACCCCGTTACCACTATCATTGCCGTAACCATTACCAGTACCATTACCATTGTCATTACCATTACCATTACCATTACCATTACCATTACCATTACGATTGCCATTGCCATTGCCATTGCCATTCGAGGATTTCAGTAGGAATCATTCAGTGGAGGGTTTCAGTAGGAATCCACATGTGGAGGATTTCGGTAGGAATCATTGAGTGGAGGGTTTCGATCGGAATCCTTCTGTCGAGGATTTCACTGTGAATCCTTCTTATGGGGGCGTCCAATAGGAATCCTTCTAGGGGGGAGGGCAGATGTGGCCACGTCGCATTCCTTTTTTTTTCTCCTGGCGCCCCCCCCCAGAAAAACAAATCAAAAACAAAAACATTGTTTTGTTTTTCTTGTTTTTTTTGGGGGGGGGCGCCAGGAGGAAAAAAAAAAAGGGCAGAGAGGTAGCAGGAGGGGGAGAGGGAGGAGGAGGAGGAGGAGGAGGAGGAGGAGGACGACACTGAGCAGAGTGTGCACAGAAACAGTCGCGAACTCAGCGCGAAACCCTCGCGCGCGCGCTGTGGAACCCCAGCGACTCCACAATCCCCCGTTCTCTCCTCCTCCTCCAGCTCCTCCTCCTCCTCAGGCGTTTCGCGCTCGGGCTGTTGGGGCTGCCCGATTTCGCGAAGGTCCCAATGGCACAGCCTGCATGCGTCCCCCCCACCCAGTACAATACTTCGTGGCCCCACAGGGAGCTCCACCTAATGTCCCAGTGGCGCAGCCCTCATGCGTCTCCCCCACCCAAAACAGCGCTCCGTGGCCCCATACGGTGCTCCACCGAAGTTTCCAGTGGCGCAGCCCGCATGCGTCTTCCACACCCGGTAAATCGTTCCGTGGCCCCATAAGGAGCTCCACTTAAGGTTCCAATGGAGCAGCCCGCATGCGTCCCACACACCGAATACAACGTTTCGTGGCCCCGTAGGGAGCTCCACCTGAGGTCCTAGCGACGCAGCCCGCATGCGTCTCCCACACCCAATACAGCGCTTCGTGGCCCCTTAGGGAGCTACACCGAAGGTCCCAATGGCGCAGCCCGCATGCGTCTCTCTCTCTCTCTCTCTCTCTTCTCTCTCTCACAAACACGCACGCACAAACACAAGCACACACACACACTAACTACAACGCTTCGTGGCACCATAGGGAGCTCCACCGAAGGTCCCAGTGGCGCAGCCCGCATGCGTCTCCCCCACCCAGTACAACGCTTCGTGGCCCCATAGGGAGCTCCACCGAAGGTCTCAGTGGCGCAGCCCGCATGCGCCTCCCACGCCCAGTACAACGTTTCGTGGCCCCATAGGGAGCTCCACCGAAGGTCCCAGTGGAGCAGCCCGCATGCGTTTCCCCCACCCAGTGCAACGTTTCGTGGCCCTACAAGAGGGCTCCACCGAAGACGATGCCCACAACTGCGGTATTCACAAGTGCATCTGGTTGGTTCCTCCGCCAGGCTATATTTTCTGGCCAATGGCAACGTCCTCATTGGTCGAACTACTCCGTCGATGCGCCGCGCCGCGCGTACGGGAAGCGCGGTGCCGCACCGACGCGCGCCGTGCCGCACGGTCCCCGCACGACCATCCAGGCCGCTGGCTGTCTGTGTGAACGGGTCACCCAGCAACGCCCACTGTGCAACGGACGCCACTGACAAACTTGGCTCGCGCGCACCTGGCTGCGCCTGCCGCCCTCGGGCTCCGCCCGGCTCCGCCTGCCTGCGTCCAGCCAAAACAGATAGGAAGGATGCGCGCTAGGGATGCAAGCCTCTTGGACGCCCGCGTTGAAGCTTTTTCGAGCGCGGCGGGCCTTCGCAAGTAGTCAAGGATGGACCGAAGAGGCAAGGATTCAAGGGAACCCTTGGGAAGGCTACCCATCCTTGCCATCGGTTTCAGTGTAACACTCGAGCGGACTGCCTGTGGGTCGCACAAGCCCTGGGCTGCGCCTTGCGCGCATGCTGCCCACTAGGCAGCCCGGCGGGATTCTCTGCACCAGGCTCGATCAATACAGCCTGCTTCAATCCCACGGGCCCCTTAGGTTGTCCTGGACTGACAGGGGCAAGCGAAAAGGTAAAAACGCGAGAATATCTCAGATGATGATGATAAGGATGAGGAGGAGGAAGGAGAGAGAAGAGAATGGGCAGGAGGCAATGGATGATCCAGGGTTGCCCCCTCCTCTCTCCCACCCAATGCATATGGGATCGAACCCCCCCCACTGGATGGGTACTCCCGTGAGCTTCGCAGAGGCCTCGCAAAGGCCCCCGCCCTCCCCCTGTGAGTATGGGGTGGTTTGTTGTCGTCGTCGTCGGCGTCTCGGCGTCGTCGACGTCGTCGTCGTCATCGTCGTCGCCGTCGTCGGCGGCGGCGGCGGCGTCGGCGTTGGCGTCGGCGTCGTCGCCCCCCCTCCATCTGTGGAACCCTGGGGCCCATCCCATCTTGGGGAGGGGGGGGGGGCTGAGAATTCTCGACGAGGGATCTGGTACAATCAGGCGCCTCGGCATGCTGCCAGGGTCTCCAGCAAGATGCCCAAACAAAGGCCAACGATATGTTCTGCTGCCAAAAGCTTCTGGCAGCATGTAAAAAGTAAAAAAACAGGATCACTGACAGTCTCATCTCGTGCACCTAGGCGCTCTAAATGGGCGCAGCCCTCTAGGGAGGAGCACGAGGAGTAGAAGATGAGATGAAGGGGGGGGGTAAGGGAAGGAAGGCTACGAGACTGCACGTGTTGTGGAGGCGACGGCTGAAAATGCTAAGTGCTACTACCTACTGAGCAGGCGAAGCAACCAGTCCCAGAGATTCTGCGAGCCCTCTGATTCATCGATAATATGTTCACCACAATCCCAAACAGCCTCGTCCGTCTTGACCCACCCGTCCTCCGTCCACATGGAGTTTGGGTCGCAAGTTTGGTTGCACGCGAACCAGTAGTCATTCTTCTTGTAGCACTTCGCGTCAGGATCAGCGCAGCACTGGGACAGTGCGCAAGACGCCCCGTTTGGAGAGCATGGGAGCCGAATCTCCTCACAATCCCAAACTGTCTCGTTTGTCGTGACCCATCCGTCCGCCGTCCACATACTGTTCGGGTCGCAAGTTTGGTTGCACGAGCTCCAATGGTCGTTCTTCTTGTAGCACTTCGACCCAACCTCAGCGCAACACATGGTAAGTGCGCAAGACTCCCCGTTCGGCGAGCAAACGGAGGCTGTCGCAACATCGGAGCTACTCGCGGCGTCTGCCGACACATCGGCGTCAGCGGCAATACTGACATCGGAGTCAGACGAAACGTCGGTACTGTCGATGCTGATGACTTCGCAATCCCAAACTGTTTCGTTCGTCTTGACCCAGCCGTTCTCCATCCACATGTAGTTTGGATTGCAAGTTTGGTTGCACGCGAACCAATAGTCATTCTTCTTGTAGCACTTCGAGCCGGGATCAGAGCAGCAAAACAAACAAGCACCACAGACCAACAACAAAAAAATAGACAAAAACGACAAACAAAAACCACAACAAAACAACAATCACTGAGTAACTGCGCAAGACTCCCCGGGCTGCGAGCACGGCGGCCGAATCTCCGTGCAGTCCCAGACTGTCTCGTTCGTCGTGACCCATCCGTCCACCGTCCACAGACTGTATGGGTTGCAAGTTTGGTTGCACGAACTCCAATGGTCGTTCTTCTTGTAGCACTTCGCGCCAGGCTCAGAACAGCACTGGGACAGCGCGCAAGACGCCCCGGTCTGCGAGCACGTGCCGTTCTTGTCCTCGGCTGCTGCATCAGCAATGGGATCCGCTGATTCGACAGGGTTCACGGTGAGGTCCTCGCAATCCCAAACTGTCTCGTCCGTCTCGACCCAGCCGTCCTCCATCCACATGTAGTTGGGGTTGCAAGTTTGGTTGCACGAGCTCCAATGGTCGTTCTTCTTGTAGCACTTCGCCCCTGGCTCAGAGCAGCACTGGGACAGTGCGCAAGACGCCCCGTTGTGCGTGCACGGAAGCCGAATCTCCTCACAATCCCAAACTGTCTCATTCGTCGTGACCCATCCGTCCACCGTCCAAAGACTGTATGGGTTGCAAGTTTGGTTGCACGAGCTCCAATGGTCATTCTTCTTGTAACACTTCGCGCCAGGCTCAGAGCAGCACATGGTAAGTGCGCAAGACTCCCCGTTCGGCGAGCATGCGGAGGCTGTCGCAGCATCGGAGCTACTCGCGGAGTCTGACGAAGCATCAATGTCAGCGGCATCAGTGGAATTAGCGGTGCTGTCTATGCTGATGACTTCGCAATCCCAAACTGTCTCGTTCGTCTTGACCCAGCGGTCCTCCATCCACATGGAATTGGGGTCGCAAGTTAGGTTGCACGCGAACCAATAGTCATTCTTCTTGTAGCAACTCGCGCCTGGCTCAGAACAACACTGGGAAAGTGCGCAAGACGCCCCGGGTTGCGAGCACGGCGGCCGAATCTCCGTGCAGTCCCAGACTGTCTCGTTCGTCGTGACCCATCCGTCCACCGTCCACAGACTGTTTGGGTTGCAAGTTTGGTTGCACGAGCTCCAATAGTCGTTCTTCTTGTAGCACGTCGAGCCTGGCTCCGAGCAGCACTGGGAAAGTGCGCACGACGCCCCATTCTGAGAGCACGTGCCTTTCTCGTCCTCGGCTTCTGCATCAGCGACGGGATCCGCTGATTCGACAGGGTTCACGGTGAGGTCCTCGCAATCCCAAACTGTCTCATTCGTCTCGACCCAGCCGTCCTCCATCCACATGTAGTTGGGGTTGCAAGTTTGGTTGCACGAGCTCCAATAGTCGTTCTTCTTGTAGCACTTCGCCCCTGGCTCAGAGCAGCACTGGGACAGTGCGCAAGACGCCCCGTTTGGCGTGCACGGAAGCCGAATCTCCTCACAATCCCAAACTGTCTCGTTTGTCGTGACCCATCCGTCCGCCGTCCAAAGACTGTTTGGGGCGCAGGTTTGGTTGCACGTGCTCCAATGGTCATTCTTCTTGTAGCACTTCGCGCCAGGCTCAGAGCAGCACATGGTAAGTGCGCAAGACTCCCCGTTCGGCGAGCAAACGGAGGCTGTCGCAGCATCGGAGCTACTCGCGGAGTCTGACGAAGCATCAGTGTCAGCGGCATTCCCGGCACCGGAGTCAGACGAAACGTCGGTACTGTCGATGCTGATGACTTCGCAATCCCAAACTGTTTCGTTCGTCTTGACCCAGCCGTTCTCCATCCACATGTAGTTTGGATTGCATGTTTGGTTGCACGCAAACCAATAGTCATTCTTCTTGTAGCACTTCGAGCTGGGATCAGAGCAGCACTGGGACAGTGCGCAAGACGCCCCAGTTGCCGAGCACGGCGGCCGAATCTCCGTGCAGTCCCAGACTGTCTCGTTCGTCGTGACCCATCCGTCCACCGTCCACAGACTGTATGGGTTGCAAGTTTGGTTGCACGAGCTCCAATGGTCGTTCTTCTTGTAGCACTTCGCGCCAGGCTCAGAACAGCACTGGGTAAGTTCGCAAGACGCCCCCGTCTGCGAGCACGGATCGGTCTCGCTGGGATCCCCGCCACTCACATTGCTGGCAGCCTCGACAATTATAGCCTCGGGAGAAGCAAGAGTCGCGGCCCCCGTGGAGGGCCCCGCGCGCCAAGCCACAGCCAGCAAAGCCAGCGCCGCCGCGGCCGCCGACAGCGCCGCCGCCCCGGCCAGAGCGCGCTGCTGGCGCGGCGCGACCGGCGCCCGCGCGGGGGCGATCACCCCTGGCTCGCAGTCGCTCTCGAGGGGGAGCCGGAGCGGCAGGAACTCGCTCCTGTCCGCGCGCATGGCGGGCGAACGATCGAGCTGCAGCGGGCGCCTGTCGGGCGGGAACGCGAGTCTCGAGCCTCGAGTCAGAATGACTTGAGCCAAAATGACTGCGGATATCTTTGGGCACATCTTGGGGCCTCATCCTGGGCGACTCAGGCAGCACCTTGGGGGCTTCGGGGGCCACCCTGGGGCTGTGTTGGGCAACCTCGGAGACTCTGGGGGCCGTCTGTGGGACATGCAAAACGTTGGTTTGCCCTTTGGGGGTGGCGTCCAATTCTAGGCAGCCCCCAAAAAAGTCCGGGTAGAAAGGAGTGGCGCTTTGGGAGTTTGGGGCTGATTCGTGACAATGACGCATTTGCATGCTGTGCTTGTCGCACCTCGTTGGCTCCCCGACCCTTTGTTGCCGGGGCCCTGAAGCTTCCTGCGAACTCGAGGTGCCAAGGCCCGCCAGTTCGTCGCGAGCGGGCTTCCGGCTCCCCCGTCGGAGTAGGAGAACGCCCTGCGGCACCCCTACGTCCCCTGCTCGCACTCTCTCTGGGCGATCACGTCAGATCTGGACGGTCACGCCGCAATCGGCCAGCGCAGCAGCGCAATGCAACCCGCCAGCTGCATCACATTGCAACACCAGTGGGGGGCTGCAATGGGCTTGGGGCGTGCAATATGTTCCAGGGCGCAATGGATTGCTCGACGCTTGCGTGCAATGCGACGGTCGCAAAACCAAAAATACAGTACACTTGTCTGGCGCAGTACATTTACAACACCGCCGCTCGTCTGCGATACATGTTTGCAACGCGTCGTCCGCGCGCGTTGCCACAGTGACGCGCACTGTGACGGAGTCAGCACTCCGTGCCAAGCGTGCGAACTCTTGATGCGAGCACTGTCGTGGATGGTCTGCCGAGGTCTTCGAAAACACGTGGAGACGCCTGTCTGCCCTCTGCCTCGTTTCCTTGCGTGCCCGAGGCCGTTTGCAGGCACGGGCTGGAACGGACGGCAGGTGGGCACAGCCACTTTTGCACGGGCCCGCCAGATATTTCAGTGCCGCCATCCCCTGTACCCGGACCTCCTCTTGGGGCTGCCCAGGCGACTGGCAGTGCGAGGGCAGCCTAGACCGGCCAAAGGGCCACCCTTTTCTGGCCTCTTGTTCTTGTTCGGATCGGCCCCGTAATGACTACAACGCAGGGCGACACAGAAGACACAAGGCAGCAATTCAGCAACAGATCTCGCAGCCTCGCACTCTCCGTGGGATCTGGCGGATGCTCGCTCACACGAAGACACGCCCACGCCGCGCCGCTCCAGGCAGCTCGGCACGGCTGAGCCAAGTCAAGCTGGGGCTAGCCGACAGGCCAGGCATCCACAGGCACCGGGGTCATAAGGACAGGGGAAGGTTCGAAGTCTACAATGTTAATTTCAGTAGCATAGCACACTAAAAAAGCACAAAATTAAACAAAAAATTAACAAAAATTGTCACAACACAAGAAGAGAAAACACATGCTAAACAACAGCAAAACAAAAAAAAAACAATCAAACAACAAAAAAACAGCAATAAAAAACAAAAACACCCAAAAACAAGGTCTTTACCTACAAGCGGGGGGTGGGCCAGGTAACGTAACGATAGCTTGGGTGTGGTGGGGCACGTCGGGACAAAGGATACGCTGCGATCGCCGTGCTATGCGCGCGATGATTCGCACGGGGGGGATTCAAGCTCCATCATACGCACGATCGTGGAACCGTTCCCAAGACGGTGAGTGGGCGGGGTAGGGGGCGAGGGAACGACCGTTTATGCACCAGAGGAAGTTTCAAAGAACAACATAAACAACAACATTTTTCGAGTATCCAATAACGCGTATTCCCCCAACCCTCGATACCCGCCCTCTTCGTCTTCGATCGAGCCCCTATTGGGGGGTATACCTTTCTTCCCTGCAGGCCGGGCCCCGGCAAGCGGCGGGGCGGCCGCGGACCGTCGGCCTGGCCAGCGGCAGCGCTGATCGGCGGGGCGGCCGCGGACCGTCGACCCGACCCCAAGAGGGACGGACAGGGGACCGACCACGACGACGACGACGACGACGACGACGTCGAAGACGACGGCGACGACGACGACGGCGACGACGAGCGAAAGCGAGAGAGAACGACAGCAGGGCCACGAAGGGCACGAAGTAGGCCACGAAGGGCGACAGCGGGGACACGAAGGGAATGCGTATGGGGCCACGAAGAGCGCGAACGAGCGGGGGCCACGAAGTGCAGATAATGCGGGGCCACAGAAGGCAACTATGGGGCCACTGAGGGTAGCAACTGGGCCACGTAGGACAGTGAGGGGGACACGAATGGCGACAGCGGGGCCACGAAGGGCATGCACATGGGGCCACAACGGGCGCGACTCCTGGGTGCCTGGGTGTCGGGAGCGCGGCGCTTGGGCAAATTGCAGGAAATTCCAACGCAAGGCTATTCTTCAGTAAGTTGCAAGCAAGTCTCCAGCGAGAGCGCGACTCCAGAGCTCCGGGAGAGCGATTCCTGAATAAATTGTGAGGAAGTCCCAAACGAGAGCGCGATTCCTGAATAAAATGCGAGGAAGTCTCGGGCGGGAGCGGGGGTCCTGCCAAAATTGTAAGGAAGTCTCAAGCGGGAGCCGTTGTTGTTGTAACCCGGGGGCCAGGGGCCCACTTTGAGCATGAAGACTTTCCCTGTCAAAAAACAGGGTGCGAGCGTCGAGGGGCACACTTTGATTGAGAAAAACAATATGCACCGGGGGGGCATCAACAATAATTATTCTTCAGAAATGAGAACTCAACAACAACAACAACAACAACAACAACAACAACAACAACAACAACAACAACAACAACAACAACAACAACAACAACACCAATTACTAGCACGTGGGGACACTCCGTTCTCACCAGTGCCAGGGTTTTCATAGGAGGCGGGCAATACCCCCACTTTGTGGGGGGGCCGGTTCAAGCTCTACCACATTTCCAAACGACTCTTCGCCACCACCCACACCCAGCTTCCCGCCCTATGACGTTCGGACACTTCACTTCGTGGCCTGCGGACGACCGTGGCTACTACACTGGCGCATGGGTACAGTGACTTGTTGTGGTAACATTTTCTGGACGCTAGCTTAGTATACGACTTTTCCACCTGTTCCAACACTGGACACCTGTACTGGTTTTTGGTGGTAACGTGTTCCTGACGCTAGAATAGGAAACCACGGTAAACCAGTACGACGCCGGTACTGTCTGTAGGTCCTACAATGATATGGACTGCTTTGGCTGGTGAGGCGCTAGCGACTTGTTGTGGTAACATGCCGACGACGACGACGACGACGACGCGACACGCGCGCATGTGTCCCGCATGGTATGTTTTGCAAGGGATTGTGGCCCCTGGCAGGCGCGCGAACGCCGTTGAAAGAGCTTGCGAAAGTAGCTCGCGCGAGCTCATGTAACATAAATGTTGAAAAACCATTGGTTTTTTAGGATTCGGACAGCGCGCGCGGGTAGAAATTTTGAAAATTCGTACAGATGTTTTTCGAGGACCTACGGTGCGATTCGTATGATTTTATGTTGCGCGGTGCTAAAATTCCTAAGAAACCCAATGGTTTTTGGAGATTTCGGCGTGCGCGCGCGAAGAAAAAACGAATGTGTCCCGCATGGTATTATTTGACAGGGATGATGGCCCTGGCAGGTGCGCAACCGTTGTCGCAGAAGTTCGAAAAAGTTGCTCGCAAAAGCCCGTTTGACAGAAATGTTTAAAAAGTGTTGGGTTTCCTACGAATCCGCAAGAGCGCGCGGGATGAGATTTTGACAATTTTTTGTTGAAAAACCATTGGTTTTTTGATGTTTTTATGTTAAAATCGCTGCGAACACTAAGGTTTTGGAAGGATTTCGTCTTGCGCGCGCGAATGTCCACTTTACCTTATTTTTTGCAAGGGATTCTTGAAATTTGATTATATTAGAACAAGAAATGTCATTTTCTATTGTTTTTTGCAAGGGAAAGCGGATTACAACAAAACAACCGGATCCTGTACACACCCTCTTTTCTGAGGCTTCCTCACGAAAATGATGAAAATGTAGCTGCGGCCTAGGCGGCGCAGGGGGGGCGCGCACCAGGGGGCCCAACAATAATTATTCTTTAGAATAAATAATGTTCAACAACAACAACAACAACAACAACAATTACTAGCACGTGGGGACACACCGTTCTCACCAGTGCCAGGGTTTTCATAGGAGGCGGGCAATACCCCCACTTTGTGGGGGGGCCGGTTCAAGCTCTACCAAATTTCCAAACGACTCTTCGCCACCACCCACACCCAGCTTCCCGCCCTATGACGTTCGGACACTTCACTTCGTGGCATGCGGACGACCGTGGCTACTATTC